TACCTTTATAGAAAAATGAGTCTGTTGTATACTGAAGATCTTACGCATCACAAGACATTTAGAAAATTAGGTATACTTTTTAACTTACATTATCTGTTGAGACTGAAGAGTCAAACATTGTCGATGTATTCTTGACATTCATTTTGATACAGAAACCCTTTAATAAAAACTTAGTGACTGATACTAACATCATAAGTAATTTATTTGTCATGTGTTTTCAATCTTATGTGTGTTGGGACACAATTTTTAAAATGCAGGGTAAAAAATTTTTTTTTGTGGATAACATTATTATTAGTAACATTGTACTTGTTTGGAAACAAAGTTCTGAGGTTATTAATTTTCATACTATGAAAAGTATTTAACATTTATAATTATTGTTCTACTTAATAATAAATTATTTTAGGCATAACTTAAAATATGTAAAAAAAATAAAATAAAAATCAGCTTGACTTAAAATGTAAAAGCCTAAATTAAAATTAATCTTTCATCTACTATTTCCTTGAAACTGTTAGCATAATTATGATTTATTCAAAAGGTACAATCTGAAAATTGTAATTGTTATTTAAATCGGATTTCTTAAAGAACATCCAAGACGTAAAGCGTCGTGCTGGATGATTGTACCTTTATCTGGAAAGTGCATTTTTTTATTTCTTGTTTTTAGTTGCCTATATTTGTAAGGCACGGAATGTAGCTGTAAACTAATGTTTTAAATTCCAAAATATTGTTATGGTAGTTTTAATCTAAATCTTGTTATGAGTCTTTCTGTACAAGAGTATGCACAGCCTGTATTTGTTTGAATGTTTTGAAAAACTCCAAAAATATATACACACTGTTTAAATTATTGATTTTGTTGTGATTTAAAAAAATTTCTATAAAATACTGCTCATTCAAACACACTTTTTTTTATCCATCTAAAAAAGTAAGCTTGTTAGGTTATTTAAGCTCTTCAGATATGCAAAGAATTTTTGTAATCAATACATAGAGTAGAGTGATATAGCGATACCTCAATGAAACGAAGTCATAGAACTTAATATTTATCACTTTAGATCTCAACATCTATTTGTTGATACATTGTCAAATATGACGTGCATATACGAAATCGACTTACATATTTTAATCCTTAACTTCTGCATATACGTTTCATAATCATGTTTTGTCTTCTTTTCTTATAAAATATATGAAGAATCTTATTTTCTAAGTACATGATAATATCATTTAATTGATTTATTTTACTTTTCTTTATAAGAATATGTAGGCTTGTGAGCGTGTTTCTAGATGTATGAATGACAATTAATGAAGCAAAGATTTTGAAAAAAAGCTTAGAAGAAAGAAGAACAAAAAAGATGCTACAATCTTAACTCATGAACCACAGATCGAAAAATCTGCATGTTTATTAAATACAAGTCTTACAATTTTGTTTCATTTAAAAGTATATAAACATATTTGAATTTTTTACATATTATTTACAAAATACCCTAATAAAATTATTGCTATGTGAATATAAAAATAGAATGAATAAAATTAATAAAGAACGTTCTTAAGACGTTCATATTCACAATGTAAATACATCAAAGTATTTGGTAATATGTAAGTTTAACTCTAAAAAGCATATTTGCTGCTAGCATGTTATGGTAAATAATTATATGCTTTTACAACAAAATAATGAGATAGCTTACTTAATTATTTTCCATAGCCATTGTATTTTTACAACAGTAATTAAATTACTTTGGAAGTGTTTCATTATATTTATATATATACAAACTATGAACATGTACGAGACTTTGTCAGGAAATGCTTTGAAAATTTTTTCGCTACAACAGGTAATCTAAATATTCTTATTTCTTAGGTTGTAAACAGCTTTTTTAGTCCCCAATTAAAAACAGTTTATGAAGAATTTGAAGTTAAATAAAAACAGTATTGTGCTTTACAAACAATCTAAAGTTTTAATTTCAATTTTAATTTTGATGGTTGTACGAAGAATTTTGTTTCCAGTAAACTTTGAACTGACAAATATTTTATGATTTTTTAAGGAATAAGGTACTCCTTAACGTATTCTTAATCCACTACTATGTACTAATCAATGATTTATAAAGACTTGTAGCCTATCTTTCTTTATCGGAGAAACGTTTTATATACATCCCTTATATATACATATGTGCATGCTAAAGTCTTTTCTTAGAATGTTTAATTTGAACGTATCAGATGGAATAATTAATCTTGTACTATTTAACAATAAAGTTAGCTGTAAAGTATTAAGCAAAGGGCTTCGAGCTTTTCTAAACATTGGTCCTAGTATTAACATAAGCATGTTACACAAAAATAGTGGTGTACAAGCGACTAAACCTAAGATTCTGATACCGTTTACATAGTTTGAGATCGTTTACGATCTTGATAACACGTAAAGACCCTTAGATAGTTCAAAGGAAGAATAAATAGAAGAACATAGGTAAAACTAAGCGATGAGCTTTAGCTCTGCCTACCCGTTAATACTGTAATAGGTTTAAGAAGGGGTTGAGGCAGGTTATCATTCAGGCCTGTGTTCGTTGACAAGTGGGACGGTTCAGGACTGCTACTTAGCGAGGTTGGTTGGCGTAAGGCTTCTACAAGTTGATACCTGGACTGTTGCTGCAGTTTCTGCTGCTGCTCTTGATGATGTGATTTCGCTTGTTGTTGTTGTTGTTGTTGTTGTTGTTGTTGTTGTTGTTGTTGTTGTTGTTGTTGTTGTTGTTGTTGTTGTTGTTGTTGATTATGATGATGATTTTGATCATGAAATTGCTTATGTTGTGCAATAACTGCTACCTGATGCTGTTGCAGATGTCGTAATGTAGTAAAAAAATCATAAGATGATTGAGCAGGAAGTTGGTACTCAGTAGATGTTGTAGTAAGACCTGAATGATGTTGTTGATGAAGCAAACGCTCGACCGAAAAGGGTCCAGAATTGGAGGAAAAAGACGACAGAGGTAAAGCATAAGGCTTATAAGTTAAAAAATCGGTGGTGCGAGGTTGATAATTCGGTTGCTGTTGTTGCTGTTGAATGAGATTCTTACTGTGTCCCAAAACCAGTGACGAACCATAAGCTAGAGAATTTTGCGGTAAATACTGCTGAATACTGTAAAGTGAGGGTGACCAAGAGTTAATAGATCTATGCTGATTGGGATGAAGTCCGTTAGGATATGGACTTCCAAAAATCGCACTACGTTTGAATGCAGCCATGCGGGAGCGCGACGCTGTAGTCGTACGCCGGCGCAGCTTTCCTGTTGTACCACCAATAAAGACGTCTTCACTACTTGCGTCAAGCATCCAGTAATTTCCCTTACCAGGATCATCATAGTGTCGTGGCACCTTTATAAAGCATTTATTAAGTGACAAATTATGTCTAATTGAGTTCTGCCATCCCTGTTTATTATTTTCATAGTAAGGAAAGTTCTTTGTAATGTAATCATAGATACCAGCTAGCGTAAGCCGCTTTTCAGGGCTGTCACGAATAGCCATCATAATAAGAGCATTGTAACTAAAAGGTGGTTTTTCAGTCTTTTTTAATTCATTGAACTTTGCACTCCCTGATTGATTTGTCTGCATTGATTGACCTTGGTGCTCTAGGCAGCCACTATAAGCCACGAGACTGGGACATGAACAGTCTAGTGGAAGTGGTGTATCAGTACTCGAGCCCATAACGTCAAGATCACTATTTGATTCATCACCACTACAGTCATTTTCTGAAGACACTGGATAATCTACTGAAGAGGTTGAAACGCACGCTTCTGGTACAATATCACGAATGTTAAAATTACTCTTGCGGCGCATGCGAGTAAGTGGCGGTGACAAGTTACCAGTCATCGGTTCACATGGCTTTACAAAAACTATATCACACGAAGAACGCTTCATACTTAAACCACGATCCTCACTTTCTAACATTTTTATTTATAATCTAAGATATCTTTCTAAACAGTTGACATTGTCGATTCTCTGTACAGTAACTCCTATTTATAAAGAGAATAAAGCTTTAGTGAATAAAAAATAATAATAAAGTTTAAAAAAACACAAACATCCACAAACAACATAACAACTATGCACACACTAATCCATAAACTTAACTTATTTGAAACTCTTACACTATAGAAAGCTATAGTACAAATTGCGTGTCCAAATGCAGCTCGATACCCTTAGACTGAGGTGCTTGAAGCATCTGCTAAGAATTCACTCGTTTCATCAGCCTATATAAAGCCTCAACAATAGCTCCACCCTTGCCCGTGCCCAAATGGCCCAGCCAATACGAAGACACTCCCAACGGCCAATAAGAAGCTCAATAAATAGTGGCTACACCATCACCCAGTATAAATTCAGGACCCACCCCTCAAAGCGGAAAAGCTTTACGATAGGTTCATACAATAGACACTATATTCTATTGTTATCCGCATCAAACCACGGTAGCCACACCCATTCCACTTTAGCTTCCCATTTGATCTTAAAAAATATTGCTGGCTCATCAAAAATTCAGAAGAAAAAGTCAACGGTGTAGAAATTTTAGGAAATAAGAACGTATACGACATTAGAAAAAAAAACTAAATCATAGCACTTAGCAGATAAAAGACATTTGCTATTTTAACTCAAAAGTCAAGAAAAAGATATATAGTAGCAAACATAAGATTCTGAAAGGACATATGTTTTAAGAAACAGGCATACAACATGCGCAGACTGCTAATGTAGAAATCTTCTAAGAACAGTATAAAAAGAAATAACTCAAAGTATTGCTGGTAAAAAAAATTAAGAAAATCGAAATGTAAACAATAGGCATTAAAAAAGAATAATAAGCAGAAAAAGTAGTAATACTAGAAGCAGTAGTATATGTATTAACAATACAAATAGATATAAAAGTAAAAGCAGTGCTAGTTGTAAAAATAGCAGCAGAAAGTGTTAAAGTAGTACTGTATGACGTAGTAATAGTTGAAAGAGTAGCAGCAAAAAAAAAGGAGTAGTCGTAGTTAGAGGAGCGGTAGTAGGAGTAACATAAGTGGTACTAGGAGTAATAGTAGTAATAGTACTAGTAGTAGTAGTATAGTAGTAGTTGTAGTAGTAGTAGTAGTTGTAGTAGTAGTAGTAGTAGTAGTAGTAGTAGTAGTAGTAGTTGTAGTAGTAGTAGTAGTAGTAGTAGTAGTAGTAGTAGTAGTAGTAGTAGTAGTAGTAGTAGTAGTAGTAGTAGTAGTAGTAGTAGTAGTAGCAGTAGTAGTAGTAGTAGTCGTAAGAAAGAATAAGTAGAAGTGATATTCATAGCAGTAGAAGTCGTAGTAGCAGTGTTAGTTTTTTCTAAAAATTAGAAAAAGTACATACGCACACGCATACATAGTAGTAGTAGTAGAAGTAGTAGTACTAGTAGTAGTAGTATTAATAGTAGTAGTAGTAGAATAGTAGTAGCAGTAAAATAGTGGTATTAGTAATAGTAGTAGTAGTAGTAGTAGTAGTAGTAGTGGTAGTAGTAGTAATAGTAGTAGTAGTTTTTTTTTTTTTTTGAGGAGAAAGGGAAAATCATTGAGTAGTAGTAGTAGTAGTATTAGAAGTAGTAGTAGTAGTAGTAAAAGTAGTAGTAGTAGTAGTAGTAGAAGTAGTAGTAGTAGTAGTCGTCGTAGTATTAGTAGTAGTGGTAGTAGTCGTAGTAGTTTTTTTTTTTTTTTTTCTTTTTTTTTGTGGAGCGAGGGGAAATGCATTGAGGCACACCGCAGGGACAGCGGTAGTGTGGGACTCGGTAGGTTTTTTTTATTAGACCACCCATACCCACTAAAACCCCCCCCCATGCCGCGTGGCTTTTGATCCACCCTGGAACCGCGTTAGCATTACTTCAGGGTGGAGCCACCAAGGAGACCATCACGTCTCGCAGCATTAGCGAGCAAGCTCGCCACCAGTTGCTAGAGGTGCCAATCCTCTCGAGTCCTGAAAAGGACTCGGGGTCCCTGAGGACCAGCACCTTGTCTAGCGCTTCATAGCAGGCCGCCCACTCAGCCAGCACCACTATAAGCTTAATGCTTTCCCTTGCTGATAGGTAAAAAGTACCCAGCGCAGCGTGGGTCCACATAAGCCTGTCTTTCAACTCAAGGCCTTTTTGCCTTATTTAATTCCTGCTTGGGCCTTATCCCTGGCCTCTTTCAGGGCTCTTCTAAATAAAGGGCAGCTTCCGCTGCCTGCTTCGTGCTTGTTGTCCGTTGTTGGGCAAAGGAAGCACCGTGCTGGGCCTGGACACTCTTTCTTCCGGTGGTTTGAGCTTCCACACCGGAAGCACAGCTTGGATCTGTTTTCGTTCTCACAGTTGCCCGAGACGTGTCCATATCCCAGGCATTTGTAACATCTTGTTACTTCGATTCTTCTTCGAATTCGGCAGCTCACAAAGCCAACTCGTAACCTGCCTTCCTCTTCTACTTGTCTGGCAGTTGTTTCGTCCACCTTGATTAAAGCCAGTCTCTGTCCTCTGGCATTTGGCTTTGAGAGAGTTACTTCTGGCTCCTGGCTCTTAAGTCCAAAAGTCCTAGCGAAAGCCTTTTTGACCTCGTCTTCCTCAACAATGGCATCCAGGTCTCGGACCTCTAAAGTCACTTTTCTGCTGCTTATTTTGACAGTACCTTGTCCGGCTACCGACTTTTCAATTTGCTGTGAGAATGCAGTAGCATTCTCTACACCTTTGGCCTTAATAAGTATGTCTCCTTTTTTTGTAGTGACAACACTTTGGATTGACACGTCAGTCTTATCTGGGTCAAAATTCGCCTTCATCGTCTTCAGCACCGTTGCAAAGGTCTGTCCTCCAGCCATCTTCACTACTACTGTAGTTGTGGCGTCTGCTTTTTTCTTCTGGCTTGTTTTGTCATTCAGCGAAAATTCTTCTTGTTTGCCACTAACTGTTTTCTTTTTCTTCAACGACATAGTATGCTGGCGTTTCTCAGGGCTGTCCGATGGGCTCCTGTTTCTTTTACTACGTTCTATTTGTTTTAGGGCAGTGTTCAGGGTCTTCTTCTGAACATGCCGTCGAAAATTATCTCGCCTTTTTTCCCTCCACTGCAGGGATTCAAATGACGACTTCCAAGCGTTTACGTACCTTTCTTCATCGTAAAGAAGGCCTTTTTTTAGCACCTCTGCCTCTTGAAGGTGTTTTAGCGCGGCTTTTAGCCCATTCTTAACAGCGTTCGCTGTGTTGCCGTACTTATCGTTAATTAATTGTAGCGTCTCTGTTATATCTTTCGTTGCTGATTTGACTTTATCAGCCAATTGCTGTTGCTTAACTCTAAGCTGAGCACCCTCTTTTTCAAAAGAGGCAAGCTCATCCCTTGTCTGGTTGCTGAATACTGACACGTTGCTGTCCTCGGTGTCGTTAGTGCCTATACTCGACAGGCTTCCTCTTCGTTCTTTGTCCGTTAGAAAAGGCCATGGAACGTTTAGCAGTCCCTGTTGGCCATGAGACACGTCTTTGTTGGCCCCCCCCAGAATCCGTGGGGCCTGCGTCAGTCACCCGGGCTTTCACCGGATCGGAACTGACGGCGGATTCCCTCAGAGAGGTTACCGCCTGGGGTACTTGTTTTACATTGACGTTTTTCATATTGGCATCTTTTTTAATGTCGTACTGACCCGCGAAAGCCAGCACTACCCTTTTTTACTGGAAATAAGTATTTAGAAAGGGTTTAAACCAGGGCAGCAGCCCTCTCTGTTACCAGAGAAGACCGCTACTTGCTCGGGCCGGCCGGGAGTCGCCACTCTCCCTCAGTCCCACCCACGAAGACTGCCCTGGCGTTGAGTAATAAGTGTAGGAATGGTGTTTTTGTGTAATGTATGTATTTGTTGGTACACAACGGTCATCCCAGCGAGACGAGCGGCAGGCGTACAGTCCCGAGACCGCGCAGACAACCCAACAAAACGGGATGGCGTAAGGCACTAAGGTGCCGCCATATAGCCTCCTCAGTGGTAGTAAGCCTAGATTAGTCGGCCCACCACGTCTGTTTTGTTTATGAGGCGTACAGCCATATCAGATGTGGTTACCCAGACTTACCCGGGCCTCATCATCCGGCATCACCCGTTGCCGGGCCCCCAACGCAAGCCCGAAAAAGGACCCGCCACACGCAGCCCAGAACAATCCGTAAGCGTCCCTGTGTTTGTTTAGTAAGAGTGTGTGATGCATGTATCTCAGAAGAATGTTTTAACCGCCGCTTACTTCTATACACGACGGGTGCTAGCTTTTGTTGGCCCGCATCAAGCAATGGAGTGTCACTCACGGAAGCAGCAAAAAGCGAAAACCAAGGAGCACAAGCAGAGCCGGCCCATGCATCCACACCGATGGAGGCATGGGGCACTAGTCCCCTGTCCACATCGCCGCAGCTACACACGCCAACGCCACACACGCCCCTCGATCCTTGCCCCCGACCACCACCACAGAGAGCCACTCCAGCTGCCCATCGTCACCTCTTATTTTTAGAGGATGCCCCTATCCGCCACCCGGGGAAGCGCCTGGTATGGAGAAACTAGCGAAAACCCCACCCGGGAGTAGTCGTAGTAGTAGTAGTACTAGTAGTAGGAGTAGTATTAATAGTAATAGTAGTAGAATAGTAGTAGTAGTAATAGAAGTAGTAGTAGAATAGTAGTAGTAGGAATAGAAGTAGTAGTAGTAGTAATTGTAGTAGTAGTTTTTTTTTTTTTGTGGAGAAAGGGGTAATCATTGAGTAGTAGTAGTAGTAGTAGTAGTATTAGTAAAAGTAGTAGTAGTAGCAGTAGTTTTTTTTTTTTTTTCTGGAGGATGGGAAAATACATTGAGGCACACCGCACGGACAGCGGTAGTGTGGGACTCGGTAGATTTTTTTTATTAGACCACCCATACCCACTAAAACCCCCCCCCCATGCCGCGAGGCTTTTGATCCACCCCGAAACGGTGTTAGCATTACTTCAGGGTGGAGCCACCAGGAAGACCATCGCGTCTCACAGCATTAACGAGCTAACTCGCCACCATTTGGTAGAGGTGCTCATGCTCTCGAGTCCTAAAAAGGACTCGGGGTCCCTAACGACCAGCACCTTGTCTAGCGCTTCATTGTAGGCTGCCTACTTATCCAGCAACACTAAAAGCTTAATGCTTTCCGCTGCTGATAAGT